CCTAAGCAGGATGCCACCCCAAATCACTATTCCCATGTGACCAGCCCTCTCCCAAGGCAAAAGCAGAAAGCTCTGGCTCCCCCTGCCCATCTGGCTCAGCCTCCTGGAGGAACCTGTGCTGAGAGAATTCATCCTCTCCCAACCACCCCTTACGCCCAGAACCGGCCCACAGATGTTCGGGGCCTCCTCGCCACACACCAGCTGCGGCCCAGCCCTGAGTATCCGCTCATTACAATATCAGCCCACCATCCTAGAGAACTCCTTTAAACACATGTTCTTCTTACAAGCCCTTCTCAGAAGTAATCCCAATAATAAAATACCATTTGGTTTTTATAAGCACTTGTAAGAGCAAAACCAGCTAAAACATCCATCCACAGAAGTGTGACAGGTTGTTGGCAGCTTCCCCAGTGTTCATCCCTTTCACCAGGGCCTGTTTCCCTGCCACACGGGCCCAGTGCAATGGACAAGCATCGAGGTCCTGCCCTTGATGGCTTTGCCTTCATGATGTCCCCATCAGTGAGGCTCGAGGTTGACCCTGGAGGGCCTCCCCTCCCTCCTCCTGGGGCGATGAAGACACAGTGGAAGGCAGAGCAGAAAGGAAACCAGATCCTGCTGGCGTCACTGAGCCACTCAGATCAAACCAACCCTGAAACTCACCCCACCGCTGGACTTTCCAGTTTCAGGAGCCAAAAACCTCCCCTCATTGTTTAGACCGGTTTGAACTGGGTTTCTGTTACCTGGGACTGTACACACACTTCCCTGCAAAGAGCAAGGCTCATTCACTCATGGCACTCCTGCAAAGGACAACATAACTATGGAAATATGCCACGGATGGGGATGCACCCATGGAGAAATAGTTCTGAGATATATTAAGTAAAATTAATTGCAGAATACTTGTAAAATATGATTCTCCTTTATGTGAAAGACATTTGAATGTGCATGGATATTTTCTGGAAAGGAATTGAATGGTGGTTGCCTCTGGGGAACAGAAGACATACTTTATACTCTCCTATGCTTAAATTGCTTTTACTTACAAATTAAAAAAAAAAAATACTGCTTTAAAAATCTTTTGAGGTGATAAAATTACAGTCCAAGGTGTTAATTTATTTTGGTATTTATTAAACCATGCTTTTGAAGCCCCTGCTGAAATATGAGATGCAGAGCACAGGAAGAAAACAGAGTGAAGAAATAATTATCTCAGGCCTTTGTCAGGAATACTTACTTCCTCCTTCTCTAAAGCTGGGATCTCTCAAACTGCTAAGTTCACCAAAAGAGGATCTACTTAAAGGTATTCTTCACTTTTTCTTCCTCCTGAAGTTATACCGCAGTCCCTGATCTACAGTGCCCACTTTAGGGTTTTCTGAGGCACGCTGGAGACCCCCAAAGCATCTTCAGAATGAACATACCTTTATTGCAGTCTTCGAGGGAGAAAAGCCAGGTCATGCCGACTTTATAAGGAGCTAAAAAGGCCCTAAAGGTGTACAGGTCTCTGGATTTTTGGAGAGTGCGCCCAAATGACTGAAAACAGTGCTGCAAGAGGTCCCGTCTGCCCTGGAAAGCCAGGCAGCATCCTCTTGAATGACAGACGCAGGAGAAGCACCCCTACCAAGCTCCATCACTGGGGACAGGTTAGCAGTTTAGGGGCAGATGACCTAAAAACCTTGAGGCCTGTGGACAGACCCCCAAATATGACCCTAGAGCTGAAAAGGTCTACTGGTGAAGGTCACACAGCCTTCCCACTTACCTGGTACAGCTAAGGGCACTGGACCACTGGGTGGCAGTGCCGAGCGGCTGACCCCTGGGCCAACCCTTTCCAGGACAGTCATTGGGTCCTGGAACTCCAACAGACCCTCTCCTTTCCCTGACCCTCTGAAGTCCATGCTGAAGCTTCTGGCAAGAACACATCAGGTGGCTGCTGGTGCTGGGCTGGAGGCCCTGTCCTCTGCTGGCCTTCCATCTAGCCGCTCTGGGGGCCTCTCCCCTGGGGGTCCCTAAGGTCACAGTGGTAGCTGCTGTACAGTGCGTTACCCTCCAGAGAAAAGGCTGTGTCTTAGTTCTCACCACCCCATAGAGAAAATCCTTTTGCTTTGCTGAGCAGGGAGCGTGCTGCCCAGAGCCAAGGCCCCCAGTGCAGGGTGGGGCTGAGCTACTTTGGGGCAACATCATGCTCTTCCCCACAGGCCCCCAAAACAAAACCCAGCCCCCAAATCTAGGTATAGAGGTAAAGATCAGCACTCTCTGGCTTTCTTTAAGTGTCAGTCGCCTGCCAGAGCCCAATTAACAGGACAATCTTCAGGAAACCTCCCGTCTTGCCCTTGCTGTGGTTCTGCTCAGCAGGAGCCAATCAGAGCTTCAGAATTCAGGGCTGGCAGCCACTAAACCTCCCATTTTATTTGCAGGTACAGGATCTGGGGCAAGGCTTCCAAATCCTTGGCAGCAACTTACCTTTCTCCAAGTCTCAGGTTTGGGGCACACAGATGGCTTCCTCAGAGCTGTTCTGTCAACTAAAAAAGTTTATTTACCACTAGGTACTCTGAGCTCTTTCTGTGCTTCAGAAATGTTCTTTATCCATTAATTTTTATCATTATTCATGTAGGGAAACTGCACAGGCTTCTTCTGCACCTGCGCAGATGGTTTTCCTGCCAGTGTCCAGCCCAGCCTTGCGGCAGTGGGAGCTCCTGGAGACTGGTGAGCCGGACTATGGCAGGTGTTGACAAGGATGGATGGGAGAAGTGGCAAGCCTGGGTCACAGAAGTGGCAGATTCTAAGGATGGGGTGGCCTAGAGTGTCAGGCGCTGCAGGAGCCGGTACGTCGCCAAGCTTGGTAACAGGGTGAACAGCAGAGAGGAAGTGCAGAGGTCCTCCATCCCAGTCTGAGAGGACAAGGGGCGGGTGGGGATTCAGGGAAGGCCGGGTGGGGAGTGCAGACAGAGCCCATGTTTGTTGGAGACCCCCATGTATGCACTGTTAATCCTAGGCTTCTTTTCTATTCTCATCCAACTACTCAGAGCCAGATGTGATGACCAAAAATGGCCCAAAAGTTGTATAAACTAACTGGGAAACAAACCCAACTCTAGACATCCCCTGTGAACTAGGCTGTGACCTGTGAAAAGACTTGCAAGGGGTCCATCCACCAGGTCTGCCTGGATAAATGGGAAGCAGGAACCGTCCAGGAGCTGCTGGTGCCCACACATTGGCAGGGAGGGCCTGGGGTCATCAACTTCCTCCTGGGCAGGTTGGGTCAGAGGAACCTGGTGAGGTGGGCAGGCCACTAACCCCCACCACAGATAGGCCAGTAGGTCCGACACACACAGCTTGTGCAACGGGACCAGTTCCAACTCAGTGTTCCCAAGCTATTTTGCCTTTTCGATATTGCCCGGGGCTGGACAGAGATGACCTAAACTAACATTTCCGCTAGGCCTACAAAGTCAAAGTTCTGCCTTGTGCTTCTAGCTCGGCAGTGCTAGGACACAAGCCAGCTTGTGCTAGCTGTAACCTCCATACAAAGGATAATTGAAAGTGGCTCACAGGATCTAAAACAAGTCACATGATAAAATGTATTTCAGATTGTGCCAACGATGGATGGTCTTTACCCTCTGACCTCCTGTCATGTTTTATCATACCCTATCCCACTGGTTCCAAGTTTACCGCTGAGATGCTTAATGCCATCTTGATGTGACCCAAAATAAAAAACACCAAAACGACAGCATTATTATAAAGATATATTCCATAAAAGAGCTTGGCAGTCAAAGAAAATCATCATACTTCCTAAAAACACCACCATTCTTCTTCACCTAGTCTATAGAAAAAATTGTTAAAAAAAAAAAAGGAAAAAATATAACAATATAATCAAACACTCACCGGTATACACCACACTAGCATGTACACATCAGCAAGTCAGTGAAGGTAGCACTCAATCCCTGAACAATGAGGACAGAACGTGTACAAGATCCAGAAAAGCATTAGAAAGTAGCCCAGCCCAAGATGCACAGATGCTCAGCTATCCCTGGGGGGCTCAGTATATAAGACAGACTTCATTTCCAAGAGCAAGCCCAGAATAGCCCTGACAGGACGGGTAGACATGGTGATCACAGATATCCCGGTCAGGGAGGAGTGAGTCACCTCAAAAGTTAGCAAAAAGATGTCCCAAGCTTCTCCACAGCTGCAGGCCTGGGTCCGTGGCTTGGCACAGGGGACTGGCCACAGAGCTTCTCTCTCCAGGGAGAGGCAATGCCAGGCTGGCCAGCTGGCCCTTAGCATGTGGCCTCGAGAGGAGTCATGGACAAAGGTTTCAGGCTGACTGTCTCTGGCTGGGCTCCTTGGCCTTGCAGTGGAGGAGGAGTCAGTTTTCAAGTTCCAGGTGACCGTTTCAGTAGCACCAAGACCAGAAGACAGTGAGGCCAAGTTCGGAGGGCAGTGTGTGCACTGGGGGTGTGCCGAGGGAGGGGGCGTACATATGTGAACCTGGGTTGTTAGGGATGGGAAGGAAAGTTGATGGGGTTGGTCCTGGAGATACTTGTTGATGGGGTTGGTTCTGGAGATACTCTAAGGAACTAAAAGGGATGGCTTCGATCCCTGACACAATATAAGGCTGCTTAGAGGAGAATGCCAGAGGAAATGAAGAGATGGTGTGAGAACATTCTTACCCCTATAAATAAACTATTTACACACTATAAGAAAAGGAGAGCCCACTCTCAGAGAAGAACCATGCCCACGATTCCCCTCATGCCTTCAGGGCATAATGCTATGGAGGCTGGAGGCAGTTCTCAGCTGGAAGGCAGCAGGCCAGGCACCCTGCACCCCTGTCCATGCACTGGCTCAGGCTCATTTCACTTGGACGTGGCTGAGGATCCTGCAAAGACCCAACTTGTGCAGACACTACAGATCCCCCCCTCAGCCTCTGAGGTCCATTTGCTCCCTTCCCCTACCCAATTACAGGCAGCACCCCAAGGCTGCTGGGAGAAGTCTTGTCCATGCCTGCTGGTCCCTTACCCATGTCCCGCTCACAAAAGACATGGCTGCTCCTAGGTCAGCACTAATGTCTCAAGTGGTGAGGAGGCCAGTGAGCCCTGCAGACACACTTGGGCTCCTGGGGGACTGAGTCAAACTGTCCTTGCAGCCACAGGAGCCAGCTGTCCCTCAGTTACCACCCCCACCTAATGACATTCTGTCTCTGGGTAGACCCCAGCAGGGATCTTAGTCACAAGTTCCTTCAGTTAAGGAGAGGCCTCTCGGTCTTCAGCAGGATCAAAGAGGTCATGTCACACTGATGCTGAAGACAAGGCGCTGGCTCTGGTGAGGGGGCATCCGCTTCTCTCCCTCTGGACGTTAACGTTGACGACAGTGGAGGGCTCTGGCCTCCACAGTGTGGCTCAGCTCTGCTTGCTCACCTCGGCTCCTCAGAAGTGATGGCCATCTTTCACTGCCTCAATGTCTGAGATCAGGGTCTTTGCCAGGAAGATGCCAAATATCTGAAACCAGGCCAGCAGAGGCACTGGCCGTCAGCATTGGAACACAAAGGGAGGGGGCAGGCTCAGAGGGCAAGGCCATGCAGGGTGCCCTGCAACGCACTCCCACCCCACAGAGACTGAGGGTGCTGAGAGAGTAACACTGGGCATGAGGCAACACAAGACCAGCCCACCATAAAAAGTGAGTCCCAGGGTCTGAATTGCTTATCCCTAGAGCCCTGAAGGGGCAAAGAGTGGGCACCAGAGAAGCCAAAGGAAACTGCCAGCCTCCAACACTACTAGGCATGTCACACATCACGGGCTGGGGCATACCTTGTCCCATACCTTGACATACCTTGTCTGGAATTAATTCTGGGACATACCTTGAGCCCGGAATTAAACTAAAGATAACAGGGTCACTCTGACCGGTTCTGATTCCCAAAAAAATAAATCCTGAATGTTACCTGTAAACCTGGACTCCATAATAAAACTAAGGTTGTCCCTGCTTCTGACTGTGCTAGTACCTGAGGCTACATCCTGACCTTGGCAACCAGATTTATCATGTAGGAAGACTAATTCTTTCTACCAGAGACAGCTAATGTGAACTTGGTCATCTTGGGCATTTTGCTACTTTTCTTCCCTTTAAATTTTTGTGATTTGTATGTGATGAGTCAGTCCTTCTGAAGTCTGATTCCTTTGCCCGCTCTGCAAACAAATTTTTTTCTTTCCTTTTCTAGATGCTTGTATCTCCTAGCCCTCCTTTGAGATCACTCAACAGACATTTGCTGAGTTAGGGAGGAAGGAAGATGTGGATGGCAGGCTGGAGGCCCTACGTCCACTGCAGTCACCCTCTTAAAGGCAAGGTCAGAGCCAAACATTTTGACCTTAAATGGTGGTGTGTTTGCCACACAGCAGCAGCAGCAGCAGCAGCAGCAGCAGCAGCAGCAGCTGTCCCAGACACTGCTAAGGGCTGCCAGCTTTTCCCCATGAGCCCTGAGCACACTGGAAAAACTCCAGACTTCTCTGACTCCCTGGGTCTTTGACTTTCTCCTACCAGGTCCTTTCCTAGTGGACACTCACCAGCCTACACACCTCACTACACGTCTTACTACACTACACACCAGCCTACAAGTCTCACTGCCCACTTGGCCACCACTGCCTTCCCACATATGAAATCTGGGTCAAATGAACAGGTTCAGCCCGCAAGGGGAAAGGAAACCACAGTGGCAGTCGGAACAGACCTGCAGCAGTGAGATGGCGATGAAGATGCCAGCCACGATGTAAATATTCCGTGGGAGCCAGCCCTCCAGCGCCTGGATACAGCCTTTCGTGAAGATGAACTCGTCCCACTTGCTCTTCAGCTGCAGGAACACACCACAGTAGCTTGAGCCCATAACCTGCAGAGGTCCCCGCCCTGCAGCAGGCTCCTTCAGGGAGCAGGGGGGTGGGTGCCAAGGACAGACAGAACTGTCTAGGAGGGACTTTGACTTGCCTCGGTCTCTGCCTCTACTCAGGGCAGTCTGTATCAGTAGCCTGCCTATAGCCTGCCTAAGGAAGGCTATGACCTTTAACCCATTTCTGTTTGGGCCTCCACAGATTTAAAGATCAACTTGTGCAACAGCACCTCCACAGTCCACATCTGGAGAAAGAAGAGGGGGCTTGAATGCCTGGAGAAGGAAGCTGTGTCTAAAGAGAGAGAAACTGGGGGGCTCAGCATCTTCCATGTCAGAAGATTTGGCTGGAGAAAGAAGGGGCAGTGGTTTTTCAGAGTGTGTCCCGCAGTCCAAGTAAGCTTGGCTCCAGAAGCCAGAGCCAGCAGGGATGGTCACAAGCCCTGGATTCCATAATGAAGCCAAGGTTGTCCCAGATTCTGACTGTGCTGGACCCAGCCCCTAGCAGAGGCTCAGTGAGCACTTGGGGATCTCAACCGACCACATAGACCCCACCCTCACCTACCCTATACACAGCAGTTCTGCCCCTTACCCATCTGCCTCTACTGTGGAAACACTATTGGAACATTAATTCACTTTAGTGGTGTTAGTGGCTGAATTGTGTTCCCCTAAAACTCACATATAAAACTCCTAATTCTCAATACCTCAGAATGAGACTCTATTTGGAGATAGGGTGTTTAAAGAGGTGAACAGATTAAACTGAAGTCACTGGGGTGGGTCCTAATCCAATACAACTGGTGTCTTGATAAGAAGAGCCTCAGAAGAAACCAAACCTGCAGACACCTTCCTCTTGGACTTCTAACCTCCAAGATACTGAGAAAATTAATTCCTGCTGTTTAAGGTACATAGTCTGTGGAACCCTTGTTATGGCAGCCCTAGCATCTAATATAAGTGGCAATCAAATTCATAACTGGAGAAGCTGCTGTTGAGATAGGCCCACTGCCTACCTGTGGAATGGAGGTCAATGCAGAAGGACTTGAGGTTTCCCAAACCAGGTGCACATCCCTAGTGTCCATGGCCAACAGGAGTGTCTATAGATCCCTTTCCTTCAGAACAGTCATTCATATCACCAGAGGCCACCAGCGCAAGGTTGGAGTGGGGACTCACTTCACGTCCAAGTGCACACTCCCTGTGGCCTAAAAAAAGCCCTAGAAGACTGACCCACTCCTGCACTGAGACCCATCTTCCTCCATGTTGTCACCACTGCCTCCATATGGCAGATGGACCAAATCATAAGCTCCTTCGGCTTCATCCTGGACCCCTAAATAATAGACACCAAGCAATCTCTTAAAAATGTAGTCTTTGTTCCCCAAAACTGTTATCTGATCTCTTTCCACTAACATAGCAACTGTGAGGTTCTATGACTGTAGCTCACAGGGCTTGAAATCACACTCATCACTCCTCTCATGAGTCCTGCCACCAGCTCAGGCAAGGAGCACGCTGCTGGTCACTTCGCTCCCAGCTCAGGAAGCACCTGTGAGCTTCATCTCCACTAGTTCTCCCACTCCAGTTTTCACTCGTGCTAAATGAGGAACCTAGGCCACACGGAATAAACCAGAAGATCTCAGAGTTATATGCACTGGGGCTCTTACCTGAGTCCTGACATCATATCCACACTGCGTGTTCACAACTTTTTGCTGTAAGAAAAGCAGGAAAAATTAGTCATTTTTGTTCCTTTGCAAAGCTGGTGGTAAAAGCTTTAAAAAAGTCACAACCAAATGGGCCAGCAAACACCTGTACAAATTCAATTATAGCTCATGTCCTTCAATTATGCTGCCAATTAACCTTTCATTCTAGGATGGATGCGCAAACTTTCTGTGTGAAAGGCTAGATATTAAGTATTTCTGACTCGTCTGTGTTGCAGCTGACAGCAGCCAGTGTCAACATAAAATCGAATAGGCATGGGTATATTTCAATAAAATTTGCATTATAGGCACTGAAATTTGAATATCGCATGATTTTCACATGTCACAAAATATTATTCTTTATTTTCAACTATTTATAAATGTCTAAAACCATTTTTGGCTTGAAGATCACACAGAAAACAGGCAGCAGGCCAGGTCTGCCCAGGTGTCATAGTTGGCCAATCCCTGTGCTGGGAGGTAAAAGTTACATGGCTCAGGATTTCACAGTCACAGTGCAGACCTCAGACACCAGCTGTGCAAGTTCAGCCGAGCCTCTCCTGAGCTGGGGACTCACCCATACCACAGAGATGAGACCCTGGATGGTCAGAGCCCTGCAGCCCAGCACCAGGCCTGTGTAATAACTGTACCACGTTCTATGAAGGGCTCAGTTCTGCTCGGGCTCAGTTCGGGCAGACATTCAGTGCTCTTTCACAGGCTTCTGAAACCTAAGGACCTGGGCTGTGGACTGGGAATGAAAACAGGTGAAGAAGAGAGAACAGAACAGAACAGAATTCTCTACGAACCCCAGGAGGTATGCACCCTCACTGCCCCTATAGGCTTCTAAGAACTGAGCATGGTCTCTCAAGAAAGGAAAATGAAGAGGGCAGACCACAGCTGGGTAAATTCATAACATCATGTCCAGGTACCCAAGTAAGAGCCCTCCAGGGAGGGATATACAGGTTTTCTCCTGCTCCGCCCTGAGCGCTAGAGCCAAGGTGAGCCATGCAGAAATCTTCCCAGGATTTATCCGTGGAGGATTTCAGAGCTGGCGGAACCCTGGGCAGTGCCGGGAGGGTGAGCAGAGAACTCATTCCATGCAGAAGAGAAGCAGCCCTGAGCACTCAGAGTCAGGAACTGCTCCGCTCCAGGGAAACCAGGTGCTCTCTGCCAGGCACAGGCCAACTCACCGCAGGGTCTGGCACGCAGCAGGAGAAGGGCACCCCACACTTCTCACGGCTGTAGCTGGCACCGCTGCAGTTGAAGTAGACATTGAGGTCCCAGTCTTCAGGGCCATAAGCCCCGCAGCACTGGTTCTACAATCACAAAGCCAAGAGCCATCAGGGTTCGTGAGCCAGGGCTGTGGCTGCCCAGTACAGGGTTGTCAGTCTTAGGGACGCAGGGGTCAGTGTGCCTCTATCTGTAACACAGAGAACTCAAGGTCCACCCCACTGACCTCCCCATATGCACAGAGATGCTGAGTAATGTGCCAAGTAGCCCTTTATGAAGGAAACTGTGGCCATGATGTCTCCTGGGTCCAACACAAAGGGCTGGCTCCATGGTGCCCTTGGCACAGGGCAGAGAGGCTCAGCTCCAGTCCTCCCTCAGCCTGAAGCAATTCCTCCCTTCCCACACCCAGCCCACAGCAGGTGTCTCACTGTCCTTTGAGGCCCCTCTGCACTGCTGGTGTGGTCCTCCACTCTCCCTGAGAGAACACTTTGTGGGCCATGTTTTCCTCCCCAAGAAATTTCCAAGATGGTCCCACCTACCTTTCTTGCTTCTCTACAAATACAGCAGCTGAATGTCTACCCAATCTGGGTGAATGAGACAATCAAAGCTCTGCCCTCCCCTTCCCACCACCTCCACTATCTGGTGTAGCTACAAAAAGAACCCTCATTTGTCTAAAAAAGTATAAAACCAAACATACTGAAAGTAGCACTGTGGCATTAACGGCACCCCAATCTAAGAGCACTTGTCCTTAGAGCTGACAATAGTTATGGCTGTAATCACAACAAATATACAACAGGACTTCTGGGGTTTTTTTTACTTTTGTGGTAAAATCCCATCTTCCCCACCTTCACCTCTCTGTGATCCCAGTCACTCTAATGATTACTTAATATTTCACCATTAGGAGTTTTCAATAATTTAATGAAGACCTCTGGGGAGTTCTATTTTAAAAAGGAAAGGAAGGTACTGGAGAAAACTACAATGTCTTTCAGGCCAGTGGGGGAGGAGCCACCAGGCATGCTCCGCACCAGTGAGCCCAAGATGACATGAAAATGAAGTGAGAATGGCAGCGTTGAACAGAAAAGGCACAGTGAGGGACATCAGAAAATGTCTGGGATTTGGTGACCTTCATAGACTAACATAGGTCACCTGTTAACAAATTAGGAAGGATCTCTGGTCTCATAAAAGGGGCTTTGCCATGTCCCATGATACATGAAAAAAGGGTAAACAAGTCTTGGTTAATAAGAGCAGATCATAGTTATTTTTAATGCCTTCTAATTTCCTTCTCAGAACTCAAGTGTTCCATATAAAAGTACCTGAGGAAGCTAGGTTTTCTGGCAGGGCACAGATCAAACAAGAGCCCTGCACAGGCCAGAATGGGAGGAGTGGGTTCCTCCCGGGGCGGGGGGTGGGGGGGACCAGCTGCAGTCCAAGCCTCCAGGTGCAGCTGCATGCAGGGGTCACAGAGGCCAGCTGGAGAAAAGGCCAGGCCTGGGACTGCTTAGACAAACCCCCAGGGACATGTTCTAGGGAGGTTACATTCCTCTTCATCTGAGGCAGTTTCCTCTAGGCAGTTCTGCCCTCTCAAACAGGAAGGATAAAAGGTCCCGGGGAGGAAGGGGACAGGCGTAGCCTCAGACAGTGAGTCACGTGCCTCTGGTAGAGAAGCCCTGCCCTTCGGCACCCTCAGTGCCCAGGGAACTTTGGACACATGTGCAACCAGAGCTAGAGAGGTCTGGGCCCCAGAGAAGGAGGAAAGGACTAGGCTCCTGAGGGAGGGTGGCCACGGGGACAGCTGGACTTGCCTGTCCAATCCGAATGGGGGGAGGGCACACAAAGAACATGAGCAGGGCAGCCATGAGGAGGCAAAGCTAACTGACCAGAGGCAGAGGTAGCCCCTCCAGGGCCACTGTGCTCCGTATTCCCACTAGCCTGGCTCCTGAGCAACACACACAGACTCAAGCCAGGAAGGCACACACTGTCGCAAGGTGCTACCACAGGCTATACTTACGGCTTTCTGAAGGGAGTCGATGAGGTTCTGCAGGTCAATGTCGTCCCGGTAGGCTCTGATGTTGCTCTCGAAGAACTCCCGGAACCGGTCCCTCACCCAGTCCTGGAATAAGAAGGCCAGCACAGCCACGGCCAACTCCAGGAAGAAGATGAGCACGATGGTGCCGCAGAACTAAGGACGAGAATGAGAGTGGGAGTCACATCCCACTCTCCAGCCTTCCAGCCAGACCTACACCCTCTCTGCCAGAGACTCAGAGAACTAGTTGGGTGATTCTGGGCAACTCTGCCTCATCTTTAAAATGGAGAGACTCATCCCTACCCATGCCAATGCACTGCTAGTGTAAAAGACACATGAGTGAAAGTATGAGAAAGTTCCAAGCCAATATGCCAACCATTTCTTATGAAGAAAACTGAGGCTCACTCAGGCACACAGTTGGCTCATGTCACATAACTCACACAGGACATGGGAATTTCCTGGCAGGGCCCTGCACAATTCTGGATCATCAGTGTTATCTGTGCCCACTCAGTATGGGAGTATATGACAGTCAACTGCACAAAGTTGTCTCCAGAAGCATGACTGCCCCTGACCGCAGCAGTGGTGGCATTCTGCAAGGGCCCACACCCTCCCTTCCATTGAGGCAGACTTCCCACTGCCATCTTCATTGGCCAGACGGCAGCCTAAGACAGGGTATCACATGTGCGCACGCACACACACACACACACAAGGCCTTCTGAAATGCAATCTCCATTCACATAGAAGCAAGACACAAAACAAAACACTTTTAAGTCAAAAAAAGAAAAAAGGGAAAAAACACATGTTTTGCTTTTTAAGTTAAGCCCAGGAAAGAGGAAGCTTGATCTAATAAATTCAACAAATAATATGTTGCAAAACATAATTATGTGTTTTTCCTCTCAGGTGCTATTTCATTTTAACTGAATGCATTTCCAAATGAATGTGTATCTAAATATAAAACCAAACTCTGGGTGAGTCCCAGTTCTGCAGGCAACTTAAGGATTCTGCACTGCACATCCAACATACCCTGCAGCAGGGAAATGATTTCCTAATGTTACTGACAACATCTTCTGATCTCAGCCAGGAAGGGCAAAGGTAAGCAGCAGACAAACAATTACTTTACGACTTGGGAGGGTAGATAAAAGGCAAGAGAGGGGCAGGGGAGTTGGCCTGTGAGCAGTTGACTCTTCTCCCTGGGAGCTGAAAACTAGAGGGGTCACTTCTCTTTCTCTGGTGATGAGAAGTTAGCTTAGCTGATCACTTCCTGAAATCTTACCATGGTGGTGGGGCAGTAGGGTACGAAGGGCTGTCTCCCCACGCCCCACTGCTGGGGCTTAAGGAGGTTTGCAAAAGCTGTTCTCAGTTCTTCCAGATAAAGTATAAACCTGCCCAGCAGAGCCCACCCCCGACCTGTCCCCTCCCCTCCTGGGGCCACTCACAAATTTGAGCAGGCAGATGTTTTCCCGCAGGGCCCCCACGCAGCCAGCAAACCCCAGTGTGAACATCACCACGCCCACCATCAGCACCAGAACGACAGGGTCGATTCCATGCAGTCGGGTCACTTTGGTGAGGTCGGACAGCACCCCCTGAAAGAAGCAGGGCAGGATCAGCCTCGGAGGGCATCAAGGGTGACCTGGGGCTGCTGGGCTGTATACAAAACTAAACCGAGCACAGGGACCTGCCTTGCAAGGCTCAAGCCCCCTTAGAGGCCTGTGCCCAGCAGATCCTTGTCCATCTCCGCCGCCAGGGACTCACATGCAGCATTCCTGGTCCCCACCTAGGCTGTGAGTTCCTCCCAGACAAATCCTCCCCCACCCCTGCGCTTGTAGCCTGAAGGGTACCTATGCCAGGCCTTGAGTAGAGGAGAGCCCTGAGGGGCCCTGTGACCTGTGCTCGAGGTACCCTATGGAAAAACACACTCACCAAGAGCACACAAAGGAAGCACTGTTCATCAAACTTTCTGTGATGATGGTGGCATTCTACACCTGCACTGTCCAAAATGGTAGCCACTGGTCATATGCACTATTGAGCACCTGAAATGTGGCTAGTGGGACTGAAGAAATGAATTTTAATTTGCATTTCATTTTAATTCATTAAAATATAAATAGTCACATGTGGCTAGTGGTAACCGAAATGGACAGAGCAATTCTATGGAGTTCAAAGGAGGAAGGAGAAAACAGGAGTTCAAAGGAGGAAGGAGAGAACAGCCAGGCCAGGCAACCCAGCAGGGATCAGGCGTTGCTGGTTGAGCTGCTGCGGTTCCGGAGGTGGCCACATGGTGGCATTATGAGTCATGACTTAAACCTGCTTTGGGGCCACTAGGACAGAGACACTGCACCTCAGCTTCTGCCCCTTAGACCCGGGTTCACAGGCTACCATAATGGTGCCCAAACCCAAAGGCACCTTTAACCCAAAGGCTTTCTTATCCAGTTCCTAAGGCCATGGCAAGAAAGCCCACATATTTAAGCGTGCCTGTTTCCTTCTTCGGGAGGCCTAAAGGGAGGCTCCACTGAAGAAAGAGAGCCCTGGGCCTGAGACTCAAGAGGAAGCTTTAGTTCCCAGTGTTTACTGCCTGGTCTGCTGGACCTTGTGCCTTCTCTCCCCTCTTCCTCCCTCCCTTCCTCCCTGTAGTGAGGGCCCTGTTCAGCCTTAACCACCTCCCCAGCACCCACCTACCCACAGACCGAAAGGTGGCACCACAGCTCCACCCTTCCCACATCCAGTCTAGTACCTCCTCTGGAGTTCCAAATGCCCCTTGTCCTTCCAAAAGTAAGAGCCTGTGCTCCCATCCTCATCTGTCCTCCATAGGCTGAGCAAGGAGATGCACAGATTCATAGAGACCTACCCTGTCCCACAGAGGCATATAACAGAGCCTGCTCCCGGATTCAGGGGTTCTTTCTGTGGGCAAGGGCAGGAGGTTCAGGAATAAACACAGGGACCTATTTGCTCCCAGAGGCACAGACAGGGTCAGGAAGGTGGCTCCAGGCCTGCACTGGACACGGCTGCAGACAAACCCTAGGGCAACTTGGAGCTTTCGGGAACAGGAAATGGCCCTCCGCGCTCTCAGAGCTCAAAAACCCAGTCAGCCCAGCCCAGGCTGCCAGCAGCAATCCTAGCACGGGGAAGAAGTTTCACGGTAAGTTCAGTAACTGTTTCCAAGAGCTGGCTCTGTGAAGATTAATGACTACAAATCATTACCTTGCACAAGAAATGCTTGTGAGGGAGGAGGGACAATTAAAGCTGAACCAACTTGGTTCTGGCTGTCTGATGCTCAGGGTCCTAGTGATAGCTACACCTACCTTTTCGCTCCATGCCCACAGTCCGGCTCCAAGGAAGGCAACTCCAGCCAACTTGGGGGAGGGGGATGAAAGAGAGACAGAGACAGTTAGCTTGGAAACCAGCACCATGAACGTGCTCCTTAGGTGAGGATCTGCACTGCGAGTAGGGGAATGTCACTGGCTCACGTCCACGCTGGGTGGATCAGGGGCAAGGTGTCCCCCCAGCCCCTACATTTGAAATGGACAGCAAGTTTCTTTGGATAACCCACACATACCTTCCCTGAACATATGGACAAACTCCTTCAACCCCCACAGCTCCATTCAGAGGCAAAGGACCTCAGAACACACTGCCCTGGATAGACTACACAGTCAGACACGTCAGGCTGTGCTCTGTTTCTTCCCCATTCCACAAATACCCCATCCCTTTCGATGTACTGTCTGCTGTATAAGAAGACATCACTCCTCATGAGGGCTGCTCTGGGTGCCCTCCCAGGCTTCCTGTGCAGCTGAGGCTCTGCATAGAACAGGGCGCTGCTGTCAAGAGAACAGAGCCCAGCACCATGCCTGCTGCCCGCCTCAGGCCCCTGGTCTGGAGCACAGACACACGCTGCCTAGGCCATTTGTTGGCCAGGGCTGAGCCAACAGGATATGCTGGGTCTTTAGTTATTGATGCTTACCCCAGGAAAGTAGCAGTTCCCAACCCTGACTTCTCACCTGCAGCAACCCACTGGGGCTAGGCTGGCTCTTGTGCACCACTCTCCCTCACTCCCCAGTATACCACACAGATTCCTGAACAGGGAGGATTTTTCCATATAAAACAAAATACCTCATGGTCTGTATATTATGCAGCCTCTGGTTTTTCTGGTTATCTACTTTATACCATGCTGGCATTTAGCTACCAATTATCAGTACCTCATGCTAAATAATAGAGCTGGGTGTTGCTATGGTTCTCAACCTTCCTAAGTGCATTTTCAAACTTCAAGACATTCTGCACTTGATTCACTACTAGCCCCAGGTGGCTGGAGTGGGAAGGAAAGACCCCTTAAAGAAAGCCCTGGGAGTTTTCAATGTCTTTTGCAACACAGACCAATTTCAGAAAATGTGTACATGCCCAATATTTTACAGGGAATTTCAGAGGGTTCACAGACTTTTTATTGTTTGTTCCCACACAGCCTGTAGAAGAAGCCCTACCTGGATCTGATTCCTCTATTTTCTAAAAGGGAACACATGCCAAAAAGGGCCAAGACCAAAATGCCAAGCCGTGATACAGAAGGGCCCGGATCTCAGGACTGTTTAATTCATTCATTCACTCATTCATCCAACAAATGCTGACTGACTACATCTTAAGTGTCAGGCATGGTCTCAAGCACTGGAACCAGCACTGAGCCTACGTGGTCCTTTCCATAACACCACACTGACTGCCTGCTATTGAGTCCTCCACCGATTAACTAGCTGATGAGGTCTTTGTTTTCTTGGTTGGGTACATGAGCACTTCCTCTCCCCAGAGTCCCATACTGCATGGTAAGCAAGCCTGAAGGTGACGAGTCACTGCCCACTGAGTCCTGCAGGCCTCCCTCCCCACCATCTTCCAAGTCTCTAATGACTTACTCTCTCTTCCTGAAGCTGGAGGTCAAGTCTTCTTTCTCAGTTTATCTAATCTTATCAGACACAGCGGATTATTCCCTTTTCCACAGACCACTCAGCTTTCTGGCCACAAAGCACACATTCACAGCAGTCTTCCACCCTCCCTGTCACTCCTTCTCAGTCTTTTCTGTTTCTTTGTCCTCCTTTTCAGAGGTCTCTAAATGCTGATGGACCTCACTGCTCAATCCTAGACCTCTACCCTCCCCTGAGCTCCCTGGATGACCTCATAATTCATGTGGCTTTAAACTTTATCTACACTGTACACTGCTGACTCACAAATCCAAATCTCCAGCCACAACTGCTCCCAAACCAAATACTCTAATGTCTGTTTGACTTGTCCACCTGAGATATCTAAGGACATTCAATCTTCACATGTCCCCATATGGAATCTTGGTCTCCCAGTCCTCAAGCTGCTCCCTCCAACTCTTCCCTTATTAAACTATGGCACCACCATCCATCTACTCAATCGTTTAAGACAGAAAACCCAAATCTCATGCTTGATGCCCCCAAATTCATCCTACCAGGACCCTCAGTTGGTTCTTCCTCTAAAATGCATAGTGTATTTGGCTGGTTTTCTTCCTGACACTCTGCTCCCACTGGTCCATGCTCGACCCCCTCAGATGCCTCTTCAAGGTCTCCTCACAGGTCCCCAAGCAACCAGAATAATCCTTCACAAACACAGAGCATGTAGCTCCATTCCTCCAAATCCTCCAATGACTTCCTTTGACACTTAGAATAAAATCCAAACTCCTTGCCATAGCCCACATCTCTAACGTCCTCTCCTACTCATCTCCCCACCTTAACCTGCTCCCAGGCCACCCTGGTATTGTTACTAGTTCTTGAATTCACCAAACTCATCCTGTCTCAGAGACCTGACACTAGTTCCTCGGCCTAGAATGTTCTTCCTCCATACCCCTTCCTGGCTTCCTCCCATGCTTCATTCCAGTCTCTTCAGAGTTGCCTGCCTTTTACTGTCCTAGGTGGACAACTCCCTACCCATCAACCCTGACAGCGTTCCCTGTTTGATTTTCCTCATGACACTCATCTAAGACCACACAAGCTATCTGTCTCTCTATCTCTGAGGCCAGAGATACTTTCTGTTTTGTTCAGGATTGTTATCCCAAGAACTTGAAGAAGGACTTGGCCCTTCTTCAGGTAGGTAGAGAATAGGCATGAGTGAGTGAGTCGCCAGAGCTCCCAGACCAGAGCAGCCCTTGTTTGTGATCCTTCCTGCTCCCCTCCCAGGCACACTGCAAGGTCTAACTCAATCCAAATGCGTTTGAAGCAAGAGAGGGCCAAGCAGAAGCCCAGGCTAGCCCAGGTACAAGGCCAAGCCCTACATAAGGACACTAGGATCAGAGCAGGATAGGGCCTGGAGGCTGCCCATCCCTATCTCTCATTCAGTGTCCCCAAAAAGCATTCCATCCCACCCACCACCTGGCACTGCATGGGATGGTGAGGAAAGCCTGCCCCATGGAAACTCCTTATTGAATCTCAGTCCACTCGAGTGACCAGCTCCCCATCACTAAGCAAGCACAGTTCTCCTTCTCGTACAAGGACTGCTCTCATCGAAGGACTCGTGTTTTTTTCCATTCTGTTTTAAAGAACTAAAGTTAACTTGCACCAGAAAAGACAGGAACTAGGGGGTCACATGTCAAATCATGGGTTTAAAGAATACGAGCCCAGGGCAGAAACTTTGGTAACCATACTTGTTTTAGAGACAAGCTGACTAAGGAAGAACCAGACGGGGAAGTGACCTGTCTGGAAGCTCACATAACAACCCTGTAAAGGAGCCAGGATCCTCACCAGCTTCGCCCAGCTCTCAATGAAATTCTCTCGAACACACGGTCCGTGGGGCTGTCCTCACTAGCTGCCAACCATTTGGAAGTGACAGTTCAGCTGAGTGCCTTCCAGCTTCACAGTAACCTTCCTTGTCTCTCTTCTATGACCTGATTAAACTCCCTCCCACAGAATGAGGCCCAACTCCCACCAAGCCCAAAGGAAGGCCAGCTTTGGACCATGAGGTTCAAACACTGGAGCGATCACCATGGGAAGTAGCACCACCTTCCCTGGGTGCCAGGCGCTCTGTTAAACACTTACTACACCTAAAGAAGCCTTTCCATACTCATAACACTGGTAAATCTACCCCCATTTTTCAAATAGGAAAACTCAGATTTGGTTATTCGCCCAAAGTCACACGGCTAGCTACTGTCCCTGAGTTAAGACCAAACCTGAGCATCTCTAACCCTCCTAACTTCCATTATCTCACCGTCTGCAGGGCAGTCATCCAGGCCAGGAAGAGGGGCTAATCACATGGGCCCAGAGGTGTAGGAGTTTCACAGAAGGGGCTTCTGAGCTCTGCAGAGCCAAGGATCCCCACTGTCCATCAGATGGTGAAGATTACTGGGTCCCAACAAGGGCAGGTAGCCAAAGCAGCAGGGCCTCTTTTGAGAGAAAAGGGGTTGCCACTGTAAAGATTCAATATTGACCTTTCCACCTGAGGCAAAGGACCCTATGAAAGAAGGTGAGAAGTCCTCTGGGACACTCTGGGCTGACCCAGCCCTGCCTTGACAAGAAGCCACACAGAATCCACTCACCATGTGAGCAAGTCTGTGGTACTTCACCCAAGGAGGTTCAAGTCACAACAGAAGTGTAGACATCTGGCCAGGCCCTGGTGGACTGGAGGAGGGTTCCAAAACCAAGCATGTCAAAAGCAGCCCTTTATCACCCAAAACTTGGTGGTAAGCCCCTTGCAAAATTTCATGTACTTGGGCAATCCATGTGGGCCCAGAGGTCTTTACTCAATATGTTTGAGGCAAAACATAAGCAGCAATACTGCACCTCAGGCCCTGCCCTGCCAGTCTCTGGTTCTTGTAAACTCCCCCCGCGGGCTGGCTGACATAAGCTAACATTGATAAAGCCTCTTCCCCTGGGCCTCCTATGGGAGCCTCAGAGAAAACCAGAAGGGAAATCAAGAAAGAGTAAGCCACTGAAACTCATGGCAGGCCAGAGCAGCGCTGAGCAAACAAGCAGCACAAGCCAGTGGTGTGGACTTCGATCTCCACCCCGCAACTTCACAGACACAGGACTTCATGTAATTGTGGGTACTTCTCTAAGCCTGTTTTCCTCTACAAAATGGGGTGACCCACCCTAGGTCACAGGAGAGTTGTAGGACTGAAAGAAGTATCAGATGTCATGTACTTACCCTGGGGCATGGAGCCATTCTGAGCGGGCCTTGCCCTCCTGTGAAGGAGGCAGAGCACAGGCATGGAGGGGCCTTCAAGATGCTACCAGCATTTGAAGACACTCTACAAACACTCTATGCTCCCCACCCCCAAGAAAACTCTCAACACTAGTCTTGTCCTAAGACAAGGTCCTTCCTTCGAGAGGCATCTTGTTTTATTGGGTCTCTGGAGGTAAGAGTAAAT